AGGTGTATTATCTAGTTTAGGTAGTGTTTGTATTTGGGTACGGATAGGTATCTATAAAGGTATAGGGTAGGGTACTAAGGTGTATTATCTAGTTTAGGTAGTGTTTGTATTTGGGTACGGATAGGTATCTATAAAGGTATAGGGTAGGGTACTAAGGTGTATTATCAAGTTTAGGTAGTGTTTGTATTTATGGTACGGATAGGTATCTAAGATGTTTTATGTATACGTTTTTAAGATAAACGTGATATTTCTTTTAAGTCGATTCTAAATCATTGTGCCTGAGGTTGGCTGTGCTAAAAACTATAATGAGTTATCATGGTCTGTTGCACACTTAGTACATCGCGGGCAGACTTTTTTTGTGACCGGGTTTTTCCGGTATCGGATATCTAAATTTTGTGTATTTAACACAACTCGTATACACCGCCTTATGGTTTTATTATATGGCTTTCGCTAAAATGTGTGTCGTTGACCAGCGACGTGTCAGCCGTCGTTGAAGATGACCGGACAGCACGTGCACGCCATGTTCACGAGAAGAGCTGGTGTGACATTGTTGCGAGATATGCATTGAGTTGATATTGCTCAACAACAAAATTTATTGAGTCTATGGTATATGTTTAATTTAACATGCAGGGTATTGTGTGTTATTGAAAGCGACCACAGGAGCCTGAGAATTTGTTACAACTATATTTAGACCTAAACTAAGGTATTTAGAGTAATGTTACCGAAAACTGATCTAAATCGCACAAGCGTGTAAAATTACTAATAATAAACAACTTAGTTTAGGTCAAAATATATCTGTAAGAAATTCTCAGGTCCCTGTGTAAGCGACGGCATATTTAAAATAAGAATACTTGTGTGAAGTGTCTGTGAAATAAGTTGAATTCGTTCAACCATTGAATACAAACAGTGAGCGCGTGGTTTATGTTGAGCCTGATGAGCGAAGTGTGTGACCTTAAAGGGCGTGATATTTCAGTTAAAATACTTTCCTGACATGTCTTGAAGAAAGCAATGAATTGAGTTATCTCCACCATGTGAACATGTTTAATCTACAATAACTGTCCGGTATATGTTAACCTAGATGAGTATATAAAAGCGGTGTGTTATAGCATGTACTGGCTTGGCATTTCTGCGACCTATCCGTAAGAGACGTGGCCGTGTCATTTTCTGTCACAGAGACCAGAGAATTTGTTACAGCTATATTTGGACCTAAACAAAGGTGTTCAGAGAAATTTTACCCGTAAAGAGGTCTAGATCAACTTTTGGTAAAAATGCCCCCCATGATGCATGATCTAAACCCTTAAAACGTGTAAAATTGTTCTGAACACCACCTTAGTTTCGGTCAAAATATAGCTGTAACATTTTCTCAGGTCCCTGTGTTTTCTGTCAGTTAAGGGGATTGAAACTACTTGGACCTATCAAAGCATACCTCAGTCAAAAGAAAAACACGTATATTTCTAATTATCTTAAATCATTTTCAAACTAACAGCCTATTTTTTTAATAGGATGATCTAGGTTATGTCGTTTTATATGCACTTATATAGACACGCAAGTCTGCTTGAAGAATAATGACCCTTCTAGTGTGAGACGTCATGGTTCTATTCAAGATATTTGAGAAAGGTATGAAAGGCCTTTGACCTGAAGTAATTTGTATTTTATGTCACGCCAAATATATTGTTTTTTATTAGTATCGGCATCCCGTTATCATAGAGCCGGTGACTAAGGAGACTATCATAAATTCTACGACATTACCGATGTTACGACACATTTCATTGGTTAACCACTATTTGTTATGTAATGTATGGGCATACATGTGTTTTTATTCCAACAAACCTTGATCGAGATAAAATCTAACAAAAGCCTCCTCCATATTACAAATATGAGCAGGTGAGTTTTGTATTGGACGAAACAATTTTGTTGAGTGAGGGTACAGGCATGAATGTATATATCTTCCCGTTTCCACATTGATCCACGATAACTGGCCATACATGGCCATCGGTTCAACGTCAAAACAATAATGAAGTCGAATGGGACATCGGCTTGCTAACAAGGCATTACCAGACAAATATTGACACTCGAAAAATAACATACTAATTTATTAGATTGGAGAAGAACGTTCATGCTGTCTGACAGGCAATAAAGTAAACACGAAAGTACATTCAATTACATTTTCATACGGTAGAAAAGATATAATGAAAATATGTATGTGAACTGTAAGGAAATATGTTACTCGAGATTCGAAATGTTGTGACAACACGCAATTCTCCATAACAGGTGAAGAACAAGACTGTGTGGGTAACTCTTCTGATTAAATATTTTGGGTTGTCTACAAATTTGCTCATATTAAATGTCAAATGTTCATATTCTCTGATAAATTAAGATATTTACCTCAACATAGTTACAAGGTATACGCCCACACATAAGTGTATTATACTTACCATACAAAAGTCATCTTTGTTTATATCGTAAGCGGCCTCTCCTTTCAAAATGTCTACAATCTTTCCATGTTCTACCACAATGCATGCCTTCTCTACTGTTCCGTCCAGCACCACTCTATTACCCCTGAACGCCTTCCTAGTAGAAGTCATCTCTTTCTAGGTTTCTCTATTCTTCCTACCCGTACCTAGCACTCAAAATAAGGTGACGTCCCGACAAAGATCTTCCGCTTCAATTTTCTCACATACAATCCCACGTATAATTTTTGCAGTGTAAACGATAGCTTACAGTCTTTCTTCTATGTAATATATTGGCTAAGTCATGATGCGTCCGTTTGTCGTCTTATATATAAACTACGTATCATGTTTTCATCTTATGAATATGTATAGGCCAATGTGTTACCCCTTCTAATATTACTAGGTCGTAGACTTGGTCCGGTAGCTAACCTCTCGTCATTGGTAACACGTTTTCGCTTTGTGTCACAAAATTTACCTGTATCATCCGGTCCATTGCTTCATCAAATGATGAATAGGAAATGGGGGTTCTGCATAAAATCCGTCCCTCCCTCTTTATTTATAGTAAATCCCTCCCTGACGGGATGGATCAGTGAGGGACCAGTGAGGGATGAGGGACTGACCCCATGACCTTTTATGAGAGTTCCCTCTCAAAATAGATTGAATATCCCATTGGGAACATTGAGGGACGAGGGGTGACCTTACATCAAGACTATTTTTAGAGCAACTGGTTATAGCACGTAGACATATATTCGCTCAGTAGAAATAACTGCGAGAAGCTTAGTATTGTTCCATTATGCAACCATGAGTTGGAGAGAACACTTGAACCGTATCTACTTTGACCTGAGTAGTCTTATTAGTTATGCGGAGATCCGATAGCAGGGACATTTTATAATAGTGAGCTACAAAAGGTCGGAAAGTGAAAAGACGACCTGTTTAAGGTGGAAAAGGTATTGAAACGACGCAAGAGAAATAAAGGAAGTCCACGTGAAATAACAGCTGGATCAAAGAAAGCGACATCCAAGACCTATAAAAAGGACACCATATAGAAGTTGTCTTCGTTTTCATTTGAGCAGCCATGCAGTGAACATCGTGCCCAGAAAGTAACAGAAGTTTCTCACGAAGAGATATTCTCTTTAGACACATGGAAACCATTCACGAGGGCAGTCAACCATATCCGCAAATCACTCATGCGTATCCGCCGCCGCCACCGCCGCCGCAGGTGGTACAGTTGATCTGCGTAAATACGTCATCTTCATAGGTACAGTTGTTGCTTCCATCGCAGGGATTACAGTCACCACCGCCTACGTCGCCACAGCAGCAGCATCGGCGGCGGAGACGGTGACTGTAATCCCTGCGATGGAAGCAACAACTGTACCTCCTGCGGCGGTATCCTGCATCTCACTTTTCTAGGTTTTCTATAAAACCATACTTTGTTGGACTTTAATGACAAATGATAAAGATGAATTAAACAAAATATCATCAGCAAGAGTTTTCGGAACATAACAATTCAGTGGGGCCAGACCGGGATTGAACCCTGGACCGTCACCTCAGATTGTTATACTTTCGCTCTAACCGTTTGAGCCACCTAGTCCAACTGTGCAATTGCTAAATCCAAATAGATACACCCGGGTGTACGTTTCACCCTTTTTGGGGAAAATATAATCAACAAAGCGTTCTGAGTTAATCAAAATCTGCGGGGTCGGTCGAATGCCGGACTGGCCCCGCAGATTTTTTTGTTTTAACTCGGAACACTTTGTTGATTATATTTTGTTTATTTCATCTCCATTATGTTTTACTAAAGGTGCCGCAAGTTATGGTTTTATTTTCAAAATGTTTTATCAAAGCTATAGTCATGCCGGAAAAATGAGTTTTGAATGCACGTTTTTGGCAGTGGTATTCCGTCTTTGCGTTTTGCAGAGTTATCTTCTCTTGAGAACATGTATTGATTGTTACGTCATTGGTTTGTGTGAGAAAATTACGTCGTTTTCTCAAGAAATGATGACGTAAGGGGACTGGCGACATATTGGTGTATATGAAAGGTGTCTGGCCAGTATACCTTGTATATCTACTGGGTTAGCACTAAATGATAATATATGACACAAACTGTGGCGGCGGTGTTTTGTTTTATTAGAGTAGAAGTATGCATAATGTTAATGTTATAAATTGTCCCATCAAGTTGTAACTCGTGTTTTATTATCATGGTTATAAAGCAGAACGGCGTCATCTGTAATATGACTCAGGCATGGTCTGGAGAGAGCGAAGCTCGTACTGTCCATTTGTTTCAATACATTTAACTTTTGAATCATTACATACATTTTAATATATAAAAAAATGTCTTACCTGTACTTGGGTTTATAAAAATAATGGAATCTGTTCAGTTGCTGGGCAAAATCATCCATCCTTGTACTTCTTCAAAGTGCTTGTGTTTGATCTGTTTTAGTATGATCATCATTCATACTGCACTAATATGATGCATCGCATGTTATTTTGAAGTTGACTGGTATGTACAGTACTGCCAGCTATACCAATGTATTGAAAGTAATATCCAGGAATACCAGTTAGTATATATGTATCCCCTCCCCGTAATAATGTGTGTTCATAATAATGATAGTGATATGTATTATTATTTTTATCCAAAAGTTAAAAAGAAACAAATGTAATTTAAACAAAAATAAAAAATCATAGGGTAAATATGATAATGTGAGTTGTAGGCAGAATGTTAAAAACAAATGGTTTGAGCTGATATATGCCAATCCACGAAGCATGTATTTGTATTTTATTCCGAACAACAATATGTTTAACATGTTAGACCAGCAGGTTAGAGACTGTCACGTCTCCCACCACTATACATTAAAAGATTTTAGATTTTTCTTTCTAAAAATTCAGATAATCCATGTGAAATGATGAAATTTAATGTTTGTACTGATTATAAACGTTTGAAATCCCAGGTATCTACAGCAGGAGATTCCTCCTTTTCATCATCGCTGTTGCAGTGAAGTTTTTGTAGATACCTAGAGATATATTGGCATATAAGCTCAAACCATTTGTTTGCAAGTGAAGTTTCAGGATGGACACCATCGTATAACTTAGTGTAATCATAATTTGTGAATTTTTTTTATGCGATTTTGACCATGTTTTCCTCGATGTTTGATTGAAACCCTTATTATGATGATCCCTTGACATTTCCTTGAGAATTGTTTTTGTCATGTACAATAGCCGGAACTGAACGAAGAGGTTTGGGGAATTCCATCCTACACAGTTTTTTGTTTCTTGTTTTTGTCCGTTTGAGGCAGTATGTTTCAGAACAACGGTGTAAATTGACCCTGTTGGTTAGGAGAATATAGGCTTCAAGCAAGGATTCTTGTGTTGAGCTTACATCAATTAAAAGTTTCTGAAGAGGATTGTCTTGCTCTGGTGGTGCTGGTGCAGTTCCTTCTGGAAGTGGCCATAGGTTTTTCTTTGATTCTCCATTGTGATCTTTGCCTGCTGGATGTGAAGCAGATATTCCAAATTGGTTAGCTGCCCAAATAGCCAATTCTTCAGCACACTCATCATCAGTCAAACCTCTTTCAAGCGCTTCATGAATCAGTGCATATGGCTGTTTGTCAGACCTCCAGCAAAGGCCATGCAAATGCACCATGCCTCTGGTTTTGGCAAATTCTTGGCGAAACCAATATGCATTGATTCCAAAAACAGGAGACATAACATCTTGGAAGTAAGACCGAGTTCGCAGGTCAAAGAAATGAGCAACAAAATGTGTATTTTCCTGTAAAACTCTGAATACTGTGTTTCTGTTTGTTAAATCAGGTTCATATCCAGTTGTTTCCCTTACATATATTGACAGGAATCTTCTTAAAGATGGAAAGTGGAATTCAGCACAGCTGCCTGTGGTGAAAAAAGATGGTAAACCACTTCCTTCATTTATCTTATATTTCATAAGAGAGCGTAATTCCTTACCCCTTTCCGCCCAGTATTGGTTGCTTCCCCGGAAAGAGGCTCCAAAATATAGAAGTTTGTTTGCAATGGTGGTATCTCCTTTCTGTATTTGTTGTTTCTGCTGATCTAAAGTAAGGTGACAATCACCAAGTTGTTGTTTGAAGACAAAATTCCCCCTTTCAAGTGCCCGTTTTCTCATAATCATGTTGTGAACAACAGATTTAAAGTACTGATGATGTGCGAATCTTCCATTGTCTATCCACAGTAAATGGTCTGCCCATTCAGCCAGTGATTCACAAGTGCGTGGCCTGTTCATGCAGAAGTCTCCGGTACCAAAAGGGAAAAGGGTAGGAAAAGCAAGTGTGAAAAAGTGTTGTGTTGTAAATTCTGATAAAGGAATATCACTACGTGTTGGCCAAGGAATTGTGATTTTTTTGTGAGTCTTTTCTCCAGATTTACTGTGGTATTTGTTTAAAGCATTCTCAATTATTTTGTGTACTTTTTTATGTATATCCACAACAGGTTCAGGTAGCAGTACACTTGAGCTGGTGTCACCATCAACATCTTCCCCTAGGTTGATTTGGTCTTCTGAAGGACCCTTATGATCTGCATGTTCTGTGCTTGGCAGGAATTCAACATTTTCCATGTCTTCGATTCCACTATCTAATGGTAATATACTGAGCCTTTCATCTGATATGATGATGTCGGTGTAGGCAGGATTGTTACTTTTCAACCAGGTCAGAGCTTTTTTGAATTTTATATCGTCGCACTCGAAAATCTTTTGATGTTTCATTTTTACCTTGCTTTCTTACCCTGAAATTTTGTATTTCTTGTGGCAACCTGGGAAATATGAGAACTGGCTCATTAACCTCTTGGGGAAACGTCACACAGTGGCCGCTTGAAGCTATGCCCCCATGTTTGAGCATGTGGACATTTATGCATGGAGATATTCTGCATATCAATTGTTGTTCTAATATTTTCATTGCTGATAACTCTTCTGGTTGTTTTTGTGGATACATATTGTTTTGTATGGAAAACATCTTTATGGTAGATCGATCAATAGAACAACGTTTACATGAACCATTATCAGCAATGTTAATGTCAATCCTTTTTTCATGACAAACACAACAAGTATTATTTTGTAGGACATTTGCTTCACTTCAAAAGCCCTAACTGAATCCATGAACGTGTTAAATTGATTGTCTTTTGTGAGAGGAGGAGCAGAAGGAATGTTTTCTTCAATGATGGCATTACCTGAATTTTGTTTTTTTTGTGTTTTTATTTTGCATTGCATTCTGCGATGTCTGTTTTTTGTTTCATTTGTACTCTCATTTTCATTGGCATGTTCAAAGACAAGTCCAAATTTTCTACACTGTGATTGAATTAACTTTTCAGATCAGAGTGTGTTTGAGTTCATACGTTCTGGAAATGTTGTATTTGAATTTGGAATGGCTGTGCATGTGTCGGGATTGGGTACATTTGATGGTTTCTTTGTTGCATTTCTATTTCTGATTTCAACATGACTTTCATTTTCACATTCAGTAGCTTATGAATGTATATTTGTCATTTTGTGAGTTTTTGGTTGTTTAGTGTTGAGACATTTAGCTGGAAGACTTGATGCATCTAATGATCTTGCAGTTGCCTTCCCAACATTTTCATTAAAGTTTTGTTTTGATTTGCTGGATGGAAGAAATGGGAATGCGTTTAAATGAACATTTTGAGGGGGAGTTGTCTCTCCTGATGTTACATGGTAGCTGTGATCAACAGAAGCATGTGAAATTGAGGATGATTTGCTTGGAGTTTTTTTTACTGAAACTGGATGTATATGTATGATCAGATGTTCCTTTGTATTGGGGGATCAAGAGTTTGAAGTGAGCATTTTCTAATAAAAGGTCCACTGAATTTGAAGGCCCCTTCTTACCTTGATTTGAGGTGCTGTAATGTGACAAAATGAATATGGTCTCCTCCTGTATATTTTGCCCTTTCAGCCACACATTTATGTCCAGTCCTAAACAGTAAGCCGTAGCTTTGATTTCACAAACTGTTGCCCAACCTACATTTTGTACCATTCCCTTCCAGGACCTGGATTTTGTAATAGAGGGGTAATGTGCTAAAGCAAGTTCATTTGCCCATGTATCCCAGTTTTGGTAGATTTCTGTACAAACTTGCTTTCTGAAATTGTCAGTATTTGAGAAGTCACTATTGAATGATAAACTTAGACAGTGGAAAAAACAATTTCCATCACCAGGTACATCATATGCAGAATAGTTTTGATTTTCAATAGAAATGGTTGCTAATGGACGCATATTATGCATTCTGTTTACTCCATACGTCCATTTCGTCCAAGGCTTAACGATAGTTTTAAAGGTCGACAGAATGGACATGTTCAGAAAATTAATGGAAACTACAGCAAAAGAAAGGAAGTACTTTATAACTTTTGGTTACAACAAATAGTACCCTTAACAAATAATGGTTGTTATAAAAGTTATTTTTTGATATCAGAGGCTTTAACTTAACAGGTTGAAACATTATTTGAAATTTGGGGATAATTGAACAGTAATAGGATCAGGGTTTAGTCAGATTGTAACACATTGCTCAGCCAATCGTCACAACTCGGCAGATTATGTACCTACATTAAACATGGAGTACCGGAATCAGCCGGTTTAGCCGAATGATTGTTCAGTCTCTGTTATCTTCTTTATAAAACCACGGAACTAGATAATCTAATTCCGTGATCAAACATACGTTAAACACATGTATGTTATCACAGTGTAATACTCGTATAAGCTGTACTTCCTTTGGAATAAACTGAAGTGAATTGAACAGGGTCTGATGCAGCATGGGACAGGCTGTAGGAGGGATTGTGAAAAACTCATACTTTTATTAAGAAAAAATCATCAAGAGCGATGTTAAACTACAAGCACCATTTTATGTTAAATTTGTTTCGCGCTATAGTTTCAATTCACCTCTATAACTGTACGATGTAATACCATTAGATCGTATTTCTGTGTTTTTTCTAGACACATGAAATATTGTAATGCCGTTTCCCATTGTTCAATCAGATTCACTTCTAATCTAACTCAAACAATATGTGTTTTAGAGTGCATACGGGTCAGATTTTTGTCATTCTGAACGTTCTGAAGGGTGGGATGATCATTATACCAAGTATCATTGTAGTTTTAAAAGAAAATCAGACAATGAAAAAAACTTCAAAGCTAGGGGCACAACGACCAGTCGGTATAGGTACAAATTGAACTCCTACGTCATAGTGATGCGAACAATATTTCGCAAAAAATAATGTTGTTGACTTGTACAATAACTGGAACAATGACCTAGAAACGTTTCTTGACACGGAGGGGTTTTACCTGTAGGTTTTACCTGTATCCCTTACAGTTCCTATTCATAGTCAGGGTATACCTGTAGGTCAGCTACTAGAAACGTCTCGTGACGTTAAAGCTGTATTGTGTCTGGTTAAAGATTTTACATATATCATATATATATATATATATATGATACAGTCAAGATGAGGTAGCATCATTTATCAAAACGCAGCCTTTTTTAAAGTTTAAAGTTGTATATTGCTAAATAATTGACATAAAATGCCTCTTCTTGGGTCCTGTATAATGTAGTCAGTTAATTTGATACGTGAAGTACTTCTTGTTATTCAATATCATATTTCAAGGTCGATATTCTGTATTTTTCAATTTCTTTTCATTAAGTTAACACAGACTATCCTAACTGAAATCTCAACCAAGATCTGAACACTCCGGTCACACACCTTGACCATCCGGGTCACCATATACTACAAGTATTATACACGTCCTTCGATAAAAACGTACACCGAAAAAAATCCTTTCAAGCACTATTATCACAGAACGAATGTATAAAATTTGGAACAGAAAAAAATACATCGGCTATTATAATAAAGTGTATGTGCATTTTTCGTGATTGGGCTATTTCTAAGTAGGTAGTTATCAACCTTTTTATGACAAAGATACACTAATTGTCCATGTGTTCTTTTAACATCCGAGACATGTACGCAGGCGTCACAGGGACATGCAAACAGGCGTCACAGGGACATGTAAACAGGCGTCACAGTTGGTTGGTTGGTTAGTGGTCTTTCGTCTTTCTTTCACTGACGGTAGTCTGCGTTTTGGCCGACGCGAGGGGATAAGATGCCGCTTACAAGACCTCTTGGAGATTCAAAAAGTCCTAGGCCAGTCGACGTCCAGGTCACGCCCCAATGTCAGACTGCTCCTCAGATGCGGTTGGCTGTCACAGCGACTTTTGGTCCACAGATCCATGTCTTCAGCGTGGTCACCGTTGCCCTCCTATGGACGCCACAGTATTAAAAGTAGTATTTTTATACTCGGAACGGCATAGGAGGACTATACACTGACTTCGGACGTCGTTTCGTGGACCGCAGCTGTTGTGGCAGTCTGTCCGCATCTGAAGAGATTTCGGCCCTCATAGCGTGACCTGGATGGGCAGGACGTTTTGAATCTCAGAGGGCCTGGTACGCGGTATTTACCCCCTCACGTTTGTCGCAATAATAGCTCTCAAGAGCTAATGTTCCTTGCTTACCTGTATGCGACGTTAAATAAAGTTTCTTGTATCTTGTATCTTGTACGTCGACCTAACACCGACGTCAGTGATGGAAGACGTAAAACCCGTAACCAACAACAAGTCGGAACGGGTGTTAAGTTTACCATAGAAGTGGATCTTAAGTGGAGTCTATTCATTGGTCTGTACCACAAATCTTATGACAAAACTAAGTTCTTTAGCCTCGTTCTTTTTCCGAATGGTATGGCAGTACTGTTTTGATTGTGATTTCTAACCAACTTGTTAGGGGCTCTAAGCCCGGACCATTAATAACAGACACCAAAAAATGACTCGAGTTATTGTGGCGAATCATCTCATGACACTTCATTGTCCTTTCTGTAATTATCAGAATGGTAGTTTAGCGGACATATCATTATAATGGGTCTTTGTAGTTATTAAGCTACAAGTTAGTTTACTGGAGTATTTTTTCCATTTTTACTCTAGTGCATATATCAGTACAAACGATACGACAATAACAAAGGCAACGTCATTGGAATTCCGGGGGTTACCATCACTAAATCACGCAATCGGGAACCGTCGGCGCTTTCCGTACACGAGAAAATACTTTTTACCTTATTTTCTCGTTTGCGGACAATGCCGACGGTTCCCGATTGTTAATAATGTTATATTTCGAGTATGCAAAGGCATATGTTCCACAACATAAAGAGATTTTTCTTTCATTTATTTTGAGATTTCATATCATCTTAAGCTTTAAATCTGCAAGTGATATATGTATTTTATTACTTTCATTTAATGATATTTCATATATATAGAAATGTTATAAGAAATAACTTTCAGTGCAATATGAAGATATCTTTATATGTAATAGGTATTTTAAATTGAATTCTAGATATATTTAAATGTTTATAAGATATCTCTCCTAAGTTAATAATATTTCTGTGAGGTATTACATTTAAACGTTTATACAGACTGAGACACTGCCTGATGTCATACAAATAGACATATACTTGACAGACGTTCACAACATACACAATAGATATTCACAACAGCCGGAGAACATGTGTAGTAGAGACGGATTAAGTGTTTAATATAAGACGAATTCCTCTAGCTATGGTTCGATCATTGATAAACTCATGACACCATACAGAGTTACACGGGACATAAGGGGCATAACTCTTACAAAATACTATCACTTTTATGATAAATGCGCATCATGTTCTTCATTTCACC